CGGCTGGCCTGGGAACGCCTCGGGATTCCCCCAGAGGAGCTGGAGGAAGTGGCCGGGGAGAGGGAAGTCTGGGTTTCCCTGCTGAGACTGCTGCCCCCGCGACACAACCTCGGATAAGCGGGAGAAAATGGATGGATGGATGGACATTGAAATATTTCTGTAAATAGTTCTTATGATTTTGTAAAACATAACAATTTCAAAGCACTGGAATATATAGTATGTAGAATATATATTTGCTCAGTGGAATAGGATGGTCTTGTGTTCAGAAGGTCACTGGTTTAAATGCCAGGATTGACAGAGTAATTTCACTGTTGGGTCCTTGAGCAAAGCCATTAAACCCCAGTCCCTCCAGGGACTGGCTGATCTCAAAAAAAAAAAATAGATCACTTTGGATAAAAGCATCTGCTAAATGTATAGATGTATATATACTTATGTAACAGTTTTTAAACTCCCCCTAACACCTATAAATTACAATAGAAAGGCCTATCTTTTCGGTTTGTTTTTTTCTTTTTGTTTTTCAAAGCTTTGCCATTGCAATTAGGTAAAGCTCATCTAAACTGTCCTTTAGTTAACAGTATTATTACCCTGTAGTGAAATGGTTGTGCTTATCTGGCTTTTGGGAAAACAACTGAACCAACAAAAACATTTACATTGTTAATTTTTACAATAATGCAAATGTTTGAATGTATTTTTGTGCAGAGTTGTATGCTGTAGACTGATGTGAACATTTTTTTTGTAGAATATTTAATTCCAATTACAGTATCCATTTTGGGAATATGCGTATGCCTTGCTCTTAGACCATATGAGGACTTGCAGAGGTTTTACTGTGAGTATAAAATCATATAAACCATAATCATCACGTTTGATGTACATAATCAAATCTATTTCCTGCCTCTTGAATGCATTTTAAAGTTTAGCCAATAATTTTAACAAAGATTAAACTTTGTAAGCAGCGTAGCACTGGAATCCTTATGGTACCCAGGGTAAGATACTTATGTGTTGTCAGTAACTGACTTTCAACCATTGAACATAATATATAATTCTGATCTTTATTTTTGCTGAATGGTCTGAATTTTTTGCATTGTTTTTGTATCTAAACAAATCTGTTTCCCTAGCTGTGAAATATAACTTCTTAGTCTTTTTTGAAGGGGCTAGGGTGGTGGGCAAAGTAATATATCTATTTATTTTATTGTTAATAAATTTCACTGGCTGCTCATTATACATTTTTATCACTGCAAATAATGACACCCACCTTCATACCCAACAAAAAATGTCTGTACCCACCTAAAAGCAAGTTGATATATTATTATGGCTCCATCTAATGTTTTTTTTCTCTAGACAATGAGTTCCACCTTTATAGCGACAGTACAAACACACTGTGAATATAAGCTTTACATATAACAGTTCTGTGTGATCTTGATTCAGTTTGCTTATTTTCCTCCTTTTTATAATAAAATACAAACAACAAAACTAATAAAGGAAAATGTTTTAATATAGACTAGAAATATACATTTGAATGTGTACTTTATACTGCAGTGTTGTTTTTGTTGTTATATTTTACAATCCACATAATACATGTCTTGCTAAATTGTTGCTTCAAATTTTTTACTTTTTAGATTTGGCTGAGAAAATGCTATTGGGGATTTTATTCATGCTTCAACTAATATTAAGTTTCCAGTATGTGAATTTCATTCTGGGAGGTAAGAAAGGTAAGCAAACATTTTCATTGACATTGACAGTTGATACAAGAGGAACAAGAACTCGGCAAAAGACTTTGAATGTTGTTTTTTAAAACATTAAACCTAAATGTTTTTGTAAAGATAATATTTACTAGATAGATAATATGCAGATAATTTAGCATGCTGAATGTCCAGTGTTGTAGGTGTTCAAAATGCAATGCTGTCCTGGCTTGTGTTATGGCTAGGTGTGAGGGCGGGGACAGTGACAGGAGAAGACTTGGGGAGTAATGGAATACAAATAACTGTGTTACATAATCTGGATACAAAAAATAAGTAATTATATTGTGTTACAACTACTGAGAAAAAGAAACATAATCAGATTATGTCACGAACCGGGGAAGCAGCACAGACGCTGTGAGGCCAGGTAAACGAGGGATTTATTTGGAGGAAACACTCGGAAACATGGAACATTACGCAAAACTGACGTTAATGACCGGACTGGGGAAACATACTTAACGTGGACTTAAATACACCAGACTAATTAGACACAACTAGAAACGGCTGGTAACATGGGGATTCCACACGGGGTAGATGAGGGGGCTTGGCACACGGGAGGATCGGACGAACAGGGCATGACAGATTACAGTTACTTTTGTAATAAATCACGATTGCTTCTAGATTACATTATAATAAGTCTGAAAATGAAGAATGGTTTTCTGATGTTTATAAAGAATGCAAAGCTGACGTCATGCAATTTTCTGCATAAACAGCACCTCTCACAAGATGTGTTGATGTACCTCTTGTAATGAATCCCTCCTACCTGCGGCTGGCCCTAACCTGTAGACAAACCATTCCCGATTTCTCTGCTATTTTTTCTGGATTATTATTATTTACTGTACTCCATTTTGATGAGAGCTATGATGCTGTGCAGATGTAAAAAGAATCTGTTCAGTTTGTGGAAATTAAAGTTATTTTGTATTTAAGGAGGAGAGGGGAAATTTCACAGTGTTGCCCAGCTGTGAAAATACTGGCAATATCAAATTTAAAGAAACATTTAGAAGTAAGTCTATGGCCTTTGTTTTGACAATCCAACGCAAAGCGTAAGGCGCAACTAACAATTATGGGCGTGTCCAAATCCATTTTGTTATTTTGACGGTAGGAAAAGACAGACTTTGTACCAGCGCAAAGAAGTTGTCCTAACGCTCTTAATTATTCAGAGGTGTGTTTTGGGAGTAACATGCAATAAACCAATCAGAATGGCACATCACCTTACCTTTAAAAGTCAGGGGTGCATGAGCTGTAGTAGATTGCTATTATAATGGCGTGTTTTCTTGGCAAACCAGATCAGTTTTCGGGCAAGCAAATGGACCTGCTTGTGTGTGAAGTTAAAATGCACGAGCACCTCATTTAGGGGAGCACCACTGTTCCACTGAAGCCTTTTGAGGTGAAGCAGACATGGGATGAGATAGCAATGAATGTGTCCTTGTTTTCTGGCATCACCAGAACATCCACTCTGTGCCAAAAGCGGTATAATTCTGTCAGAAGACGGGGAAAGCAGAAGCTCGCTGCTCAACCTGGTGTGTTTAAATACCCACATGTGTCTCTGGGTCAAATAGCCTATTATCAACATATACTTCTGATAATGAACTTGAGTTATTTTTTTAATGATACTGTGGAAGACAAAAATTATCTCCGGAAAACCTCCTTGTTGTGCGGAGCGGGGATGGAGCGGGAACAGAGTATCAGAAGTCCAAGGAGTCGGGGAAATGAGGGCTTTATTGTCTGATACATAACCGGGGGTTAACGAGGGGGCGTGGCACACGGAAGGAGCGGATGATCGGGCCATGACACTCCTATCTCTTCGCTCCAAACAGAAAAATAACTAGTCAATCAAAGTCCATGATTCAAATTGGTAAGGTAAAATCTTCCTTATTAGTCAGATCATTCAAATTCAGAGTGTCAGTGTGCTCTGCATAACCCATGCTTGCAGACCCAACAAAGGAAAAGTGCTTCCTTATATACTTTCAAAAGCCCCCTCTTACAAGATCAACTTCAACATAATTGATCACCATATAGCGTGTCCAACATTTGATTTCCTCCTTTCTCATGACCTCCAACTTTGTTTATTGTGTATTATGCTTATATAATTGATTACCTATTGATCTATTGGTACGTGTTCTTTGTACTCACAGTAACTATGCAAGTGCACCTGTGATATCTTATAATGACCTTAAGTACTTCATATTATTACCTCAAATTATCACAAACAGGATAATAGCAAGGTTCTCCCCTCCCAGCTTCTCATGTGCTGTTCACCGTAAAGTAAAATAACAAAAAACCATTTGTGCACATCAGGCATGTACCTGTGTCCGTAACGAGCATCATGTAGCCACTTGTTTGTAAAACCCACCGCTTACATGTCATTTATTAATATACCACTGACTTTACACGTGATTTTTGTTGGTCAAAAGCATATTTCGCTGCCTTAAAATAGCAATATACCAATATTGTGTCCGACCATGCCTCATTTAAAAAATACCACTCCTATGAGCGGGAAACAAGCAAAAAAAATTGTTATTCTGAAGACATGCATGCTTGGCATGAAAATGAGCAATGCTGGTATGAAACTAGCAAAACCACTTTGCGTCGCACTTTCCTCCAGTTCAAAATAGGGCCCTATAAGACCAACCGCTAATATTAGCTGCAGAGATCCAGGTAACGATATCCAAAGTTAGTTAGCAAAGTATTATGCACTTTGCACAAAGCTGGAATGGCACATAGGCTACAAATTAACACAATACTGTACTGCACTTCAGTTTAATTTGTATAGCCCAAATCACTTGATTCAGTTATAATTGTAGAGCCCCAAATCACATGTACAACACATACCATCTGTTCTTAAACCCTCATATATAGGATAGGATAATTTTGTCATTCCTATAATTATTATTATTAGGCCAAACTGTGTTCTGTTGTACGAGTACTGTTACTTGTTCTTCACTGTGTCTAGAGGGGAAAAATGCCATGTGGAGACATATTCTGTCTCACGCCTTTTACCCTGACGGCATTCCATGATAATATATAAATATATTATTACTTTAACAACACATGTTATTGTTGCCTAATAAAAAAGTGATGTCTGACATTTCATTAATCCTGTCTTTAGCTTGCATTGATGTAATCAGAAAGTAACTATAAGTCATATTTATTATTTTATTTTGAGATTACGTCTCTGATAACATTTTTCAACAGGCAACTAGTAATTGTACCGGATTTTTTAAATAACTTACCCAACCCTGGACAGAAGGCACTGTAAGGCCTGGTCACAGCAGCCAGAAAAGATCCTGAGTCATATTTAGACCTTTTTCCATAAATTTTGTTGTGGAATTTGTTGTTACAGGGAATTCTGTTTCCATTTATAGAAGCATTTGCTGTGTCTGGCATTAGAGGAACAGGAAGTTTTTCAGTTCAGTGTTAACCTTACTTTATACATTTACTTTTTACTACAGAACAACATGTAAGGATGGCTGAGTATACATTGATCTACAGTTTGGCTGTCACATCATGCTTTGATGACTGGCTTCAGAATGATTTATTTCGTAAGTTATTAACAGAATATCTGATATTTATGCATCATTTACAGTCTTGCATTTTTATAAACTGTGTGCTTGAACATATACAAGATTTTAAACATTTGATTGAATCATTTGTTTAAAATTGATACTTTATTGATCCCATGGGTAAATTCTCTTTATGCCACCCCCAACATAATTTTTATTTATTTTTTTTAATATAATTCGTAAAAAAGTTTCAATGTATTTATGGAGCCCAATGTCTAATGCTTATCTCTGCACCTTTCAGGCAAACCCCGTTCCTTTCTCTATGTATCAGGGGCTTTTGGTTTCCCTCTGGTGAATTCTGTTGCCCTGGCTGTATTATCAAAACAGAAAGAAGGTAAATATGTTAGGGTTTCACACATTTCCGGAATATTCTTTTTTTCCTGTGTAAGTAAAATTATCAGCAGTGGTGGACAGGGTTCCAGTATTCCACTAACTGCTAATTAACCAAGATAACTTTTTCATTAGCTATGCTAGCTTTGAAAGGCATTAGCGGACCAATTAGCTAAATTTAGTTCTGCAAACAGTACAGTATATCCACACCTTTTTTCGTAGGTAAAGTGAATAAAGTTTAAAGGTCTTAAATGTTTGTAAATACTTAAATCATACATATTTGATCCCGTCTGTTGAGTGAGTGTGTCTGTAACAGTCTATCTGGCACACTGTTGGCTGACTACATGCAAACACAAGATCTGATTGGTCAATAAGTTGCCTGGGCTAAATGTAAGTGAACTGGAGAACAGGGGTCTGTATCAGGAAGCAGGATTTATCCAGCTAAGCAAGAAATCCTGCTTTGTGACACAAGCCCCCGTTTGAATTTTCCAGGTTCTGATTGACAGAGCTATAGACTAATAAAGAGCAGAGACCCTTCTCCCTAGTTTCTAGTCCCCAAGCAACTTCATCAAGGGCAAAATGTAGCATGTACCAGTTGTGAAATAGGGCTTGTCTGATAAAAGCACTTATATCTCTCAAAAGGAATATCATAGAAAGTAATTTTCAATGGAGATATTTTCTGGAGACTGCAGAATACAATGATATCCAGTTGAGTAAGTGCTAAATATCCCCTAGTAATCACTCCAAATCAAGAGGTAGGACTTCACTGTCAAGCAGGTTCAAATTTTAGCTCTCTAGCTATGTGTTAAGTGTTTCAGAGCCAATAACCAAATAGAAGCTAAATTCATATAATAAAAATGAGTGCAGTTATGGTTAGCTAATTTTTTTTTGTGGTTTATCAGTTTAGTCTGGAGTTAGCAGATTAAAATCTGTTATTTATGGACTTCTGATCATGTCATTTCAGACACAGGAGAACAGTCCCTGGATCTACGGCTGATTGTCTTTCTTTCTGAGTCTTTCTTCCTTATTGCCTGGTTTGTTCTACAGGTGTCTGCATACAGTAAGTATAACAGAGATATGATCCACAGCTCTCTCAGGTTGAATATGTGTGCTGGGATGTTTCTGATCATTCTTTTCTTCTACCCATGTCACACTTCTTAGAAAAAGATAATCTGATATAAAAAGTATGGGTGTGTTACAGTCCTCATGAACTTGTACTCATCCTCGTAACAATGTTCTGATGCCTCTAACCAATACCACGAGATGACAAATCAGCGATTTCATTAATGAGCAACATAAATGAGACCCCAAAATGTCTGCAGTGTGGAAGTACTTCAGATTTAATGACAAAAACCAAAACTCAGCCGACTGCAAATTGTGCTCTGCTGAAATATCAGAAGGTACAAAAGCAGCTTCATACAGCACAAGTAATCTAATTTAGCAGCTAAAAACTAAATATAAGAAGGAGTACCAGGAAATTGCACAGGAGAATATAATAGTTTCTTAAGTGGTACATAGTGTAGTTTATGAACCACTACATTAGATGGGTTTAAATGGCCCGTGACATGTTTTAAATCACAATGAAATCTGGCCCTCCAATTTATCATTTTCCACAGAGACTAAAATGATGACTCTGCCCCACATGCCTTGCAAGTTTTAACACTGCCTCTTCAGCGAATTATGTGTCTCATTTTTTCCAGGCTTTCATGATTTTTTCTGCTAAAACAAAAAGAAGTGTCCAGCTTGGTATCATGTGCATTTTCTCGTGTGTGTATGATTGTCTGTGTGTGTCAATGTTATCTTTTATTGTGATATTTTAAATTAAAATATCACATATTTTGACATCCATCAACCCTAGGTGGTATTGATGAATCCCTATAAAAAAGAATACTAATCAAAGAGAAATGGAATTATCCTTGAACAGAATTAGATCTGATAAAACCACAGTAATAAGGTTCACAATGATAACATTGTTTCTGACATCATGAGTATTATACTACTTATAATACTTATTTGTAACCATACCTCTATTACATCTGTAATTCAGTTGATATAAAGTGCTTACTTTGAGATCCAAATCTATTTTCTAATGCAAAACTAACCAATTATTACAGCCTAATAAAAATGTCATTAATTATTACTTTTTGATTAATTACTTTTTACCATAGCTAGTTACAATTCATAACAGCTTGATAAGTAAAACCATATTTTGATTTTCACAGAAATTAATTATATTGTTATTTTACTGTTTTCGACATATAGGTATGAGGGAAAAACAAAGGTATGTAGACTTTTTCTATATAATCACATAAATTTGAGTAGTTTATGATTGACTGTCTCCTGTCTTTTGCCCTGTAGCTCACCCCATCCCTGTACCATATAAGGGGTTATGGAAAATAAATTCATATACATATTCAAAAATTAGTCAACTTTTTACCTTAACAGCAGAACTCTGTAATTTTAGAAAAATTACCACTTTTATAACAGTGTGTTTTACTGTGTTTAATAACATATCTGTGTGGCTTCCTACAACAGTCCAAGAACATGTGGTTAGACTTTTTGCTTCATGGGATGGGTTTCAGGTTCAAGAATATTGGTAATTGGTAAGATACGTGCTAGTTGCAAAGAGAAGATCCAGGATGAATGACTGCTCATTATAGCTACATTAGGCTCCTGGAGTTCTGGTCTGTTGGAGGACTCCCTGTAATAGGCAGTCAACCATCGTTAGTGGATGTTAAGGTATGTTCTCATAGTGAAGTTTAGCACATGTCTGAGGACCACTGCCTCTCTAAGATCACTTACTCATTCACCCTTTGTAAAGATATTGAGTCACTGTGTGTTTCCAGAAGGACATGCAGCAAAACCTAAGCTGTGCATTAGCAAAGGAGACATAAACACAGAGGTGTTTCCTGCTGTGTACTTTTTTTGCAGGTTAGCATACTATGGGGTATTTTTTATGATACTTTTTCTAACATTATAAAGCTGCCTTCCATCTCCAAAGCAGAATAAGCTGAATCCCAATTAATCCCAGCCCATCACAGGGCCCATAAACACATTCATATTCACACCTATGTGTTACGGCATGGCATGGTGCAGGTGGGAAAAAAGGTGATGATCCATGGAGCGGTTTTGAGACAAAGGGGTTTATTAACAACGCTGAATACACCAGGGAAAAGCACAAAATAAAGGGACTGCAAGGGGACAAAAACAAACAGGAAAAAATAAAGAACAAACTAAAGAAACCATAAAGTAGCACAACTATGGAACAGAACAACACATGGAGCAGGACTAGGAAACCAAGCAAAGCAATTACACACAGTAACAAAAACACACTGACTGACAGAGAAACAGAACAAAGGTAGGTACTAATATTCACTCAGATAATGAAGGCTATCAAAGGACCATCACAAAAATCAACCAATCAACAAAGGAGCAGAACAACAAGCAGCAGGTGGAATAAATCACAACTAACAAACAGAGAAACTAAGAAAAATTGACAACACAAAGGGGTAACACTAGGGAACACTAAGAACAAGCAGAACCAAAATAAAACAGGACATACGCAGAGTATATCAAACGAGGAACACAAAGATGAACCATAACAGGCATAGAAAATCATAGCAAACACGAAAGAAAAAAAACAAATGTAAATTAACAAAAGGGTGAGACTGGCCTCTTCTGGCCAGCCTCAAACTCATGACGGAGGTGTGATAGCTTCAGAGCCACTCACTCAACCCACTGGCCTACACAGCAGCCCTGGGAGCAAAGAAACACACTAGGGATTAAGGCTACAAGACAGAGGGGGGAAGCAGGGTGACCAGCAATGCCTGCTGGTCAAAAAGGGACAAGACATATACATGTAGGGCAGAGACGGATGGGCACAGACCATGATACCTATAAATGAATTGGCAACGTCAATTTACCGTAGCATGTTTTTGGATTGTGGGGAAAACTAGAGTAACTGGGAAAACATGCACACTCTGCACACACACACACACACACACACACACAAAAAGCTGGAGTGGAAACTTGAACACTGGTCCCAGAGGTGTGAGACAACAGTGCTAACTACTCTGTAAATCCATGTTAAACATTATTTATGTTAAACATATTCAGTAAGTTCATCTCACAGTAACAATTTAGATAATACAGGTCTGCATCGGAACCATGCACTTTTTTGAATTGCTGGAATTATCTTTTAAGTTAATATAGGATATCAGTAAGATATACATAACAACTGACTATCCATCCATCTTTTGGGCAGAGTCATGGGGATGACAAGTGACTAGTTCATTTAAAATGTGATACACTGACAAAGCTCTGTTGTAATAATCATGGTCTTTTCCTTAGAATAAAAGAAGCATTTGCCTTTCTTCAAAGACATGAAGGTACTGAGCCAGACCAGGTGGGTGTCCAAGATACATCTGTCATTTGGTTGGTGTCCTGGGGCTGGTTTCTCTACATCACTTTGACCATCCTCACTTGTGCGCTCCCCCCTTCCCTTTAAGTATGGAATGCTGGGATGCAGTAGGCGTATGGACATGGTAGATTCAGGGGGCCCAGCACTTCCCAGAGGCCCTTGAATTTGTAAAATTATACATTAAATTGGGCAGGGAGTCAAGTTAACATCCATGTATGATAGATTTTTGCAATACGGGATGCAGTTTGTCCTGTATTTCTTTAAATTGAAAATGGCAGCCCTCGTGACAGCTTTCTAGCTGCGCCCCTGATGGTATGTGTTGTACTTATTCATAAAAGTAGAGGAGAGAGCCTTTGTTATGACTGCGGCATGCAGGAACATGTCAGTACGTTCTTCATGTACATGTTCCCCTGTTGGTAAACACAGGTGGTTATCTGGGTATACTGCAATGGAAATAACTGTTATCATCAGTATATTGGGCTCTGAAGATGCATCAATGCATTGAATTGATTATTAAAGTAGTGATTTAAGAATTTAAAATATTTACAATTCATATGTATGGAGACTCAGGGTGTCAATTGTTGACCTCAAAGCGATTCGATTTGATTATGATTATTGGGGGAACAATTTGATGCATTGTGATGAATCGATTATTAAGGTGGCAATTTAGTGTATTGGTCTGAGAAACCAAAATTGAATTTTGGGGGTAAAACAAAGATACTCCTACTTACACATTGCATGCTCTCGTATTCATGTGCTGCAGGTAGATGCACACAGTAGCAGTTCCAGCACTTGAATTTCCAAAACATAGGATAGCTGGGGAAGGTTCATAATATTCATGAAGGAAGTATTGCATGATGATCTTTGCTCATCGCCTCTGTCAAGTAGCCCAAAAAAGTATTTATTTTTTTGCAAGCTATGGTATGAGTAGAAATGGTCAAGACACTGAGGTAGCTGACTAGCTAGCTAAGTAAAACCTAAAGCTTCGAGATGCAAAACATATTGCTTAACATCAGTAGCAGCCGATATTCATTAACAATCAAGATATCGTCATTGGTCTGATGTGTCGATCTGCCCGATATTGCCAGTCGATATTTAAACTTAAAAGTTAGCAGCACCACAGCTAAAGACACAATTACTAAAATAATGGAGATCATTGTATTGGAGGATTAGCCATTTTCCGTATTGAAGGTCAAGTGATTCAGTACTTAGAAATGGTCTTAAAGTAACATGTTTATTGTAATGTGCATGCCATACATAGTGCATTGTGTTAAAAACAGCACAGGCAATCAGCAAATTTAAACAGTAGCTGGCACTATTTGCATTCACTCACCACACATACACACCGTGCCATTCGCTCCGATAACTCCTAGCACACACAGTGGACACACACACAGACACACACGTCGGGTAAACAAATCTTTATGGGGACCTCTCATTCATTTCTATGGGAAAAATGCTAATGCTAACTATGACAACCTTAACTCCTACCCAGCCCTAACCATAACCATAAGTAACCAAATAAAATACGAGTTTTGCATTTTTAATTTTTTCATTGCAGTCACAGATTTTTATTAAATTGAGTTTTCCTTAGTGGTGTGGTTGCTACTTTTTCTACTTTTTGTTTTGTTGATGTTTGGTTACATTACACTAATTGTCATTGCATTATGTAGTTGGTGAACCTGTTTACATGAAATTTATCAGTTAATATTGTCACTCCTGTAGAGACCACACGATGATCAGGAGATGGAAGCATTGTCCTGCGATGAAGCCAATGGTGGAAACAGAGAGGACGTAAACCAGCAAGCATGAATTTGTGATTCACAGGCTCACTGTAATAAACTTTGATTTGTGAATTTTTAGGTTATTTAGAATGGAACTGGGAAATTCTAAAGATCCTAAAATAAAGTTTACCGTTTTTAGATTGATTTCAGACCCAGGTTTGCCATGGACTTTGGTATCATGGGAGTCAGGTTAACAACCACAAGATTCTTCCTTTATTACAATTTATCTGACATGGATGATGGTTGCTGATGGTTTACTAAGACGGCACCTGGCATCTTAGTGGGTTTACTGGCACTGACAAACTGTTTAGAAAATTTACTTATACCTTCCAGATTCCTTCCTATGTAAATATATCCTACATGTGCAACAGAACTATGATTATAGAGTGCAATATACTTATACTTCACATACTGTACTGTTCATCCTGCTGATAATGTGCAAAATAGTTTTTTCTTCTCTTCAAGTTACATTTATTATAACTTCTTACAGGGTCACTTATGTTACGAGGTAACTTAGTATTTTATTCTAGTATTGTATTATAGTATTTTATTCTACTCTAAAATTTTATTAGTGTGCTTTAATTCAATTTAGCTACACTAATCTTTAGTACTTCATTGTACTGTTCTTGTGTGTTGTTGCAGTCGTAATGTAAGCAATTTCCTCCGGGATCAATAAAGTTTTCTGATTTCTGATATGTTTAACAGTAATTGAATAAGCAGTAGTCACAGATGAATTAGCAGGAATCCTGCCCCATCCAAGCATAGTACTACACCACATACTATCAACTCCATAATATCAACAACGTCTGAGGTATGCTGTCTATATGTTGCCTGTGAATAATTATCCTTCTTTTTGTTTCAAGCAGAATAGATTACAGTAAAATCCTATTATAACGGACTAAAAGGGACCTGGCAAAACAGTCCGTTATATCCAAAGTTGCTTTAAGCCCAGAACACAACTACAGGACACGATTTACTCATGCCACACCCCAGCAGACACACTTGTGGTATAGATTATTATATTGTACATGTAGTAATTCAACTTTACCTGACCAGATGCGTGACTATTAATAAGTAGTGGCGGACGGATCGATCCAAGTATCGATGATATTGATAAATACCAGTTCAATGAGATCGATACTTCAGTTTCAGTTTCTCTCCTGAATGCACTGCGGCTGTCTGTGTAAGTGCTGCTGCTCTCAATTGCCGCTCCTGGCTGTCGCGTGACTCAGCGGCGCCAGGCAAGCAAACAGGCTCACTTGTGCGCGCACGTGCGCACACACACACACACACACACAAAGACAGTATAATATTTATAATAAAGTATTGTAATAGTGGGCCGCTGAGCCATGCTCGCAATAATTAAACAGCAGAGATAGTTCGAGGTTTAATCACCAGATGCCGTTTATTACACCTGTACCACTGCAATTACACTCACTCCCACTGCCCACCGTGCTTGTCACCCCGTTTACTCCTCATACACATGGTGAGCGCTTGCACACATACAGACACACTACATACAACAATAAACATTAACCACTATACATGACATAACACACAAGCGATTACTGAGAACTATTTACAAGCTACCATCAGTCCAACATGCTGCGCTGCCGGCAGGTACGTCCGTGCTACAGTATTTATTTACTCATAAACGTTGCCCAAATTCAGTCCTGGGTTTTAACTAATTAATTAAAAAATTACAAAAACACTTAAAGGTAATGAAAATTAATTCAGGTTTAGCAATTTGATTATGCATCCACCTTAATTATTAAAAAGCATCCATATCGTATTGGCGATACTTGCCCTATATTTACTTGGTATCGGATAGATACCAAATCTTGTAGTATCGCACACCACTATTAATAATTCCGACTACGCATCTGCGCTGAATATCACCGGCACGCCTTGTCGGTGGAGTCTGCATGTCCGTTAGAGCCGAACAAAACTACAGCCAAAAGCGGCCCTGGCGACAAATTGTTTGTCCGTTATTATAAGCGAAATTCCGTTATATGCGAGTCCGCTATACCCGATGCTTTTTCTGCATGTTCTTAAAGGTGCACGGCCGGGACCAGCGGACCTTGTCTGGTATAGACGATATTCCGTTATAAGCGAGTCCACTATAACGGGATTTTACTGTACTGTAATGCACTCTTGATTAGACTACCTAGGAAATCAATTTCAAATCTAAAACAGGTCCACACAGCAAGGATCACATCACACCTAATCTTAAATACCTGCAATGGTTTCCTGTGACTTTTGGGATTGACTTTAAAGTTCTAGTTTTTGAATGTTTACATGGTCTTGCTTCACCTTGTGCCAGTGACTTGATTGTAAAGTACGTCCCAGACAGATCACTCAGATCATCCAACAGTAATTTACTGATTATTCCTAAAACTAGGCCGAGGAGGGAGGGGGCAGCTTTTAGTCTCTATGGTCCCAAACTCTGCAACTCTCTCCCAGAATATCTGAGAGCTACTGAATATCTTACTTTTAAAACCAGGCTAAAATGCATATTTTCACCATTGTGTATAATAATGTATGATAATCACTTGTTTTATTCACTTATTTTCAAGAATATCGGGGTCGCTCCCCCAGAAGTGGCAGGGGCTAGAGTCCCCTGTGGAGAACATTGGTAGTTATGGTGATTTTAAAATTATTTTTGAGCCTATTTTAATTTATTTTTTTTCCCTTTCTTTCAAAATATCTATAAAGCACTTTGTAAAACCTCTGGTTAAAACAGTTTTATATAAATAAAGACATTTGATTGATCCCTGCTTGAAGATGGACGGATACTTCAGATGAAATCAACAGATTGCTCTTTTGGCAATATGATTTCATATGATGCGTAATCACTGCGTTGATCACCATTTTGGTGCACCACCTATGCAGGCTCCCCAAGACTAACATTTTCATTATTTCTGATCCCTCCCACTGTCCACAATTGGCTATCATAAATATGACAGCAAGACTTCTGGCATTTAATTAGTCTCAAAACTCGTGCACATAAAAACCACACACGTATATGCTCTCGTGAGCAGAAAACCCACCCTTTCTATGTGCTCATGCTCGCTGGATCTTCTGTATGTGTTTGCATCTCCCCAACACTGGTTCGCTTGACTGGTTGAATTTTGAGACTTTGGGGGCGGGAACAGTGGCTGATTTCTCTACTTCGTTGTTTGGTCAACTTGAATGCTATGATTGGCTGTTTGCTTTCGGAGAAGAAGAAGATTATACCTGACCAGTTGATGCTGGAGGAAGGAAGTCTTACACTAAGTTAAGATGGTAATTGGAATCATACATATATGGTTCAGAATGTAATATTTAATGATTTGATGTTACTCATCCTTTACACACCAACGTGAATAAGGGGAGTACCGGCACTATTTTTCACACTTCACATTTACGAGCACATTTTAATAAGTAAACAGGCTTTCAAAACAGGCACCTCACAAAACAAAACATTAGGAGATATTGCTGATGTACGCAACATAAATTTATTGACTCAAATGGACAACTGTTTACCAAGTTATCCATTTATTCACTCTGCAAGCTGCACTCTGAAATTTTTCCCACCTTCAATGTACTGATGTTGTTGTGCAACGCGCAGGCACGAACGGGGGAAGCATGAACAAGGGATTGAGGGAATACGGAGTTTAATATGGAAAACACACCATGCTACATAAAACAACGTCAATGACCAGACTTAAATACATTGATCTAATGACAGCAACAAGAAACAGCTGGTAAACACAGGGAATCCACACAGGGTTAAGGAGGGGGCGTGGCACATGGAAGGAGCGGATGATCGGGGCAGGACAGTAATATTGCAATCAATAAAATTACAGAGAAAGACAAAATAAATAACTAAATAAATACTGGTGGGATAAGAGAAGGAGGGGCCCACATGTGTGGGATGCTTTATTAGCACAAATAAAAGGAGGAACAGTCCACCACGGAGAGGGGGGGTGCAGTTTGGGTTGGTGCTGTAAATCAAGACAGGGTGCTGGCAGACAATCCCTGGTCTTGGGTTAGGGCTCTGCTCAAGGAAGGGGTGTAGGAGTGACAGCATCACAGTGTATCACAGCTGTATCACAGTGGAAGCTGCAGCTAGCAGTTTGCCTGCAAACAACTTCCTGGTCCTGTCTGGTGTCCTGTCTCCCTGGTGCTCTCCCTGGTGCTGTGTGTCCAATCCTGTCTGGTTCTACACTCACCTAAAGGATTATTAGGAACACCATATTCAATTTCTCATTAATGCAATTATCTAATCAACCAATCACATGGCAGTTGCTTCAATGC